GGGGTTTTCGTACCCGAGTGTTTTTTCTTCATTGTCGTCTATATGGAATTGTAACGTTTTCAGGAGATAAGCAGTTATAGGGTTTCTATAATAGAGAGAGAGAGAGAGAGAACCAAGCACGGATGTGAGGTTTGCATACCTCGTACGTGACGGAACCGAGGAAAGGGTGGTCGTTTTCACCATGCGAATATCGATCGTCCAACACCAGATAGCCCTTCTTGACCTCTGCTTCACGCCGTCGTGGAGGTTAAGTCGGTCGTTTTCCCCGAATCCAGACACACTCGGAACATATTTGTTATATTTAAAAAATATAAAATAAAATTACGAATCAAGAAAAAAAATTTATGAAAATGATTATGAATGATTTGTAATTCTTGAATTACATTTTATTTTAAGTGTAATATAAGGATTATGAATTTTTTATGACCATTTTCATAAAAAAAAAAAAAATTATGATACCCAACATTGCTTTTTTAAAAAATGATTATCCATCAAATTTGAGTTTCTCTGGTTCGAATTTGTGCATGCTCAGTTATCACCCTCCTCAGCCACACCTGTTTGTTACTGGATGACTTCTAGCCGATCGACATGTATAAATAGTTATTTAGCATAATGATTGATATAAGTGTATTTAGAGCCGTGCTACGTAGCTCGAAAGAGCATCCCCCCTAATCCCCCGAAAATAAAAACGACGTCGTTTCGACGTTTTTTGAATTTTTTTTTTTTTTTTTTTAGAAAAAACCATTTTTGCTGAATTCTGGATTTGATATCGATTTGGTGAAACCGTTGGAGCTTAAAAAAGTGACTTTTTTACCAAATTTTAAATTTGATGCCAGGTTTGATTCACCGTTGGAGATGGTCTAACATTGCTTTTTTAAAAAATGATTATCCATCAAATTTGAGTTTCTCTGGTTCGAATTTGTGCATGCTCAGTTATCACCCTCCTCAGCCACACCTGTTTGTTACTGGATGACTTCTAGACGATCGACATGTATAAATAGTTACTCCCTCCGTCCCATAATATTAGTCCCTTATTCCATTTTTCATTGTCCCAAAATATTAGTCCCTCTTCAAAAATCAAGTACAAAAATAATATAAATTTCCCATTTTGCCCTTCTTTTAAATTCATAAATAATATAAAAAGTACAATTATGACATTGATATTCTCAAAAAAGTGTACTATCAAAGGGTAATTTTGGAAAACCAACTTTTTATTAAAAGTACAATAATTGTACTATCAAAAAAAGTTAGATTTCCCAAAAGGGACCATTATTTTGGGACGGAGGGAGTATTTAGCATAATGATTGATATAAGTGTATTTATTTGACTCCTATCTTTTTATTTTTTTATATATTTTTTTATAAAAATTAAAAAATATATTTATTTAGACCATTTTAAATAATTTCTAATATTGTTCTTATATTTTTTTTTTATTTTGTCTCATTAAAATTAAAATTAAAATAAATTACAAATACATTTAGAATAGAGTTAATTTTATTTTCTATCACTAAATTATTGTTAAACTATTTAATTATCAATTGATTCTATTAAATTTCTGAAGTAAATAGATTTTTATTTATATACTTTACGAATTAAAACTCCCAAGTAATTTCTAAAGTAAATAGAGGGTTCAAAGAAAGCTCAATTTTAGAATATATTGCTCGACTTTAATTGACGCTATAATATATAAGAATTTTAAAAATTAAATGTTTTAATCTCTAAAAGTGAAAATTTTGTTGCAAAAGATATTTAGGAATCAATTCCTATCTTCGTGAGGATAGTCGCTAAAAAGTCGTCCTGAAAAGTTAAAAATAAGGTTTTCAGCGACAAAATTTTGAAATTGTCACTAATAAATAGGCTTTTAGGGACAAAATAATTTAGTTTCCAAATGGTTTACTTTTTGAGACAAAAAATAATAATTCATCACTAATGTCTAATTTTTGTTGCTAAAAATATAATAACCACACATTTTGCAACAAAATCATTTGGTTTTTAAAAAATAATTTTGTTCCTAAATTTTAATCTCTAAAATTTTAATTTTTTATAGCGTGAGATTCTCATAAGTACACAGTGAGAAAAAAATTTTAGATTAGTCGATTCAATAGATTTCGTACTGAATTATCAAAAAAATAAAATCATTGTACCATTCATTACATGGCACAAATGGGATAAATATAGAAGAAATTTCAATTAATTATAGATTTTAAAAAAAATTACAAATAAATGATAAATTTTATAAATATTAATAACTATAATTATAATTTTTTTAATAATTTTTTAATGATAGCCCTAATGGGTAATTTTCCCACAAGTATATATTTACCTTGACGAGTACCCTTACTTTGTCCAAAGCTGCTACAGGGCCCGAAATTTTCAAGCTCAAATTTGTCCCGAATCTAAAATGACATCGTTTTTTATTATCTTACCGGTAAGAGAATTTTATTACATGTTACCGATAAGAGAACCCAAAACGACGTCGTTTTAGGTTTCGAGCCAAACGATTTCGAACGCTCAAACAATTTTACACTTTGTCTTTATAAGGGGAAAAAAAACAAAATGCTTTGTCTTTATAAGGGGAAAAAAAAATGCTACTCCATAAATTATTTTAGATTTCCTAATTTTTAGTCTTTTTTTATTACAATAATAACCTCAAATAAAATTACTACAAATGACATCATTAATTTTGGGACACCTTATCTCACAATTAAATCTACACACCCATTACATCATGAATTAGGATTTATGAGAGCACACACTTCCATCACCACCCATCCATCTTTTTCAAATCCCACCTTCAAAACCTACCCAATCTCAAAACATTGAAAACTCTTTGCGGCAATATTCCGGCGGTAACGGTGACAACCATTTGATTACCTACATTGAACGGTTAAAACATGAAAATTTCTTAATACATTGAACGGACAAAATTATTAATGCTTGTAGAAGTTTTCTTTTTTTCAATTTCGTGAATACAGGCCCGAATATTACTTATTTGTTCGGGAATATGTTCCCAAACAAATAAGTAATGTTCGGGAATGCAAGTCCGAACATGGAAATTTCTTAACACATTGAACAGTCAAAATTGTTAACGCTTGTAGAAGTTTTCATTTTTTCAAGTTCGGAAATACGTGCCCGAACATTACTTATTTGTTCGTGAACACATTCTCGAACATAAATTATTTGTTCGGGAATACAGGTCTGAACATAGAAATTTATTAACACTTTCAACGGTTAAAATTCTTAACAGTCGCAGAAATTTTATTTTTTCAAGTTCGATAGTTTCAATTTTGAAAAAGCAATGAGAGAGAGAGAGAGAGAGAGAGAGAGAGAGAGAGCGCATACTAACTGTGACAATGGTTAAACCGGTAGAGATAATATTCTTTTTCTTTGTGGATTTTGAAAATAATGAAACTCTTCTTCTTTTTCAACGGTTAAAATTCTTAACAGTCGCAGAAATTTTATTTTTTCAAGTTCGGTAGTTTCAATTTTGAAGAAGCAATGAGAGAGAGAGAGAGAGAGAGAGAGCACATACTAACTGTGACAATGGTTAAACCGGTAGAGATAATATTCTTTTTCTTTGTGGATTTTGAAAATAATGAAACTCTTCTTCTTCTTCTTTGCGGGTCTTGTTCGGTTTTTTTGAAAGAGAGGTTTTTTTTGGAGTGTAGGGGTATAGGAGTTTGCATTCAATGGGTGGAATATTTAAGGATAATTTTGGTATTATTTAGGGAGAAAAAGGAAATTTTAAGGGTTTCAAAATTCATAAGTGGAGGTCTAAAGCAATGAGGGATCCAAAATAATTCATGGGGTGCTAATAGCACCACTCAAAAAAAAAAATGTAATTAGTCCAAACTAAATGTAGAATTTTCTTTATTTTCATTTGAAAATTTTAGTCAAAATCCCTTTGATTGACCCTTATTTGGTGAAAAAGACAACTCAATTTATTTTTTTTCATAAACCCCCTAAGGAGAAAATACATAATTGAGTAAGGATAAAGTAAAATATCTTTTTTTTTCCCCTTTCTTTCTTGACAATATTGCCAGAGTAACACGTTACTGTCAAATAGAATAATTGTCAAAAAGAGTAACATGTTACTGTTACTGTTTACATCAATTTTAACGGTAATAAAAAATTTTTATAAAGAATTTTATAGTCGACAGGAATCTTATTTAATAGATCTTGATGAGAGAATTGTAAAAATATTAATTTTATTAAAAACTGACATCTGCATCAAAAGTTATATTATTTTAAAGTTTAATATTTTGATAATAGTGATATTTGTTAGACTTTTGAAAGAAAACTTTTTGTGTTTATCCTTAATACAATAAAATTTTATTATAAAGGAGTTTTGACCAAATCTCCCTATTTATTTTGCCCCATATTCCATTCATCACCCTGTGTTTTTCACTTTAGAGTAAAAAATATTTCTTGTAATTTACCATTATCATTTGATGTATGTATATTTTGAATATGGTAAATTACAAATATATTTCTTGAGATTTGCTTAAAAAATGATTTGTTTCTTGCAGTTTTAAAAATTACATCTCGTCCCTTGACGTTTTTAATTTCATAAAAAATAGTTCATTTTATTAATTAATCAAGAAGTCAATTAACAATTTTTAATGATGTCAGAAATTTATTTCAATTACTAATTCATATAATTTTATCATTGTATATGAGAGAAGTTAGAAATTTTATTTTTTCAATTAATTATGTTAAATAAAAAATTCTAAAAATTAGATATTTGTAATTTTTCAAATAACAAGAGACGGCCCGCATTTTAAGCAAACCTTAAAGGGTGTATTTGTAATTTATCCTTTTGAATAAGAATCTTCAATTACCATATTTAAAATGTTATTTATATTTTTATGGTCATCCAAAATTTAAATATTTGTTAATTTCTCAAGTACTTGATGCATGATTTGTATTATTTTTGCTCCCCAGTAGCGAAACTGTCGGAAAATATCCATTTCACAAACATGCACACCAAAACTCAAAAGGAGAGATTGACATTAACCAATTCATTTCATACCCTACTTTTGTAAAATCTACACAAAATCACAAATATTAGCAAGCTTAATGCACTTAACGCGGCTAGAAGCCAGTAGTACTTGTCTAGCCGGGCATCTTTCATGTTGTCAGAGAACCAGTTTTGTCTTCCCCTTGAACTTAAGATAAACTCAAGAAGAGAGATTAACAACGCACTCAAGAAGCTTCCTACCCCAAAAACACTAGTGTATAGTGCTATCCCCATAGTTCTCATTCTTGCAGGAACTTCACTGTAAAAGAACTCTTGCATCCCAACAACAGTGAAAATGTCTGAAATACCCAATAGAATGTACTGTGGTAGCAACCAAAATATGCTCAGTGCAACTGTTTCTGATTGTGTGTTTCTACTCATCTCAAGCCTCTTTGCTTCGACAAGTGCCGCAATTGCCATGGCTATGACCGACAGGAACATTCCAATCCCCATCCTCTGCATCACATCGATGCCTTTCTCACTACGTGTGATAATGCGAGCAAAGGGGATAAAGAACGTGTCATAAAATGGCATCAAAATAATTATCGACACTGTGATTGCGCTTTGTAGTGTGGCTGGTGGGATTTTGAAGTTGCTTCCAATGTTCCTTTTCATCGTCATGCCTTGTTTAGTAAAGAATGTTGGAGGCTGTTGGAAAATCACTGCAAACATCAGAAGCATAATCCATATTGGCAAAAGATGAAATACGACTTTCGCAATTTCAAGAAGTTGAATTCCATTGTTGGCAGTGTCGTCTAAGCCCTCATCGACATGTTCAAGGTCTTCATGACGAAGTGGTTTCTCTTGAAGCCTATAAATAGATAATCCTATCATTAGTACCAAAATTACCAATAAATTTTACAGCAATGTTACGTATCATGAAAAATCTTTCATGAAAATAATCATGAAAGTTTTGTGATCATTGGATTATACTTAAAATAAAGCACCACACACTAATCAAGGTAATCCAAGGGTCATAAATCTTTCATGATTATTTTCATGAAAAAAATTTCATAATTTCTAACTTTTCTCTAAATTTTAAATTGTGAAGTCTTGAAACTTACTCCATCTCAGCCACATCGGATTTGCTTGCATGTGTGCACCAACCATCCATCATTTTCGAGGCAGTTGATTTGATGGCATGAACTATACTCTCCAAGGACTTCACATCGGCGCGCTTGACCTGTTTGTAAGTGTAAAATCTGCTCCCACTAGAGAAAATTGCAATTGATGTAACCATTGCAATTGTGGGGATAGCAAATCCCATGCCCCAACCTAACATTTCTTGGACATAGGACATGAGTGAGACACCTAGAAGGCTGCCACTGCAAACGCCGAAGTACCACCACTGGAAGAACAAGCTTTTCTTGTCGGACTTCTGATCATTTTTGGTGCAGGGCAATTCGTCTTCCTCATTTTCGAGTTGATCGGCTCCAAAGGCTTGTAAAGATGGATTGTAACCTCCTTGGCCTATTGAAATCATGTAGAGAGACCAAAACAGGTATGAAGAGGAGCTGGTTTTGCTGGTGGGAATCCAAGACCATTGGAATGTGGTTGATGTTAATGCTAGAAGTCCCTGTAAACGAAAGGAAGCAGATAAAAAATTCAATTGATTTTTGAACGGTAACAAATTGCATACTTCAAAAATTATTTGTGTAATTAACCCTTTTTTTTTTTGTATCTTCATTCCGAGTCAGATGATGTTGTATTCCCAAAATGATTAATTACAAACCACATTTCTGAAACTTGACAAGAGATCGAAGTTTATTTCTATGGCCAGTCTTTTTTCGGTTCTTTACATCGTCCCATGAATCTTCACATAAGTCGACCAAAAAAAAAATAAAATTGAATCACCTGTCAGTTATGCTTGATTCTCAGAGTTTTTGCCCAGAAAATTGCACAAAAAAGCTAATGTGTGGCTGAGATTGATTTTACATATGTAATCCATCAAACAAAAGTTGAATTTGGACCATAGGATCATTTTCTGGGCAATTTTATGGACAAAAGTTGCATCGCATTCATCCAAAAGGGAAAAAGAAACCAAATCAGCTGTTAATTATGCATCACTAATAACACCCACTAGACTCCTATTCTTTCACTCTCTCATTAGTGACTATCATTGTCCAATTTAGATACTGCCCCTAATCATCTTTAGCTATGAACTTTTTTAATCGACATTACACTAAAATGAGAGGAGTGTTTGATGACTCGGGTTCCAACCACCATCCTAATGGAATAATATATTAACCATATGAAATCATTGGATAAGTAAAAAAAATTTACACGGGGCATTTCACATAATGTGGGACCGTCAACTGTCAGATTAAACTTTAGATTTTTTTTAGTGCAGGCAGCAGGACTCGAAATTTATCACTTAAACCTGTTTGTTTTCATAAATAGAATAAAGAAAGTTTGTAGTGAGAGAATTAATAGTGAAAGGATTGATAGTGGAGAGATTAAGTAAAATTGTGTTTATTTTGATAATAGTTATTTGTATAGGGATTGTTAAATTATTTTTATACAAAATAAATATAAAATAATAAAACAAATTAAAAAATACAAAAACATTAAACATTAATGTTCAAAAAAATGCCCAACATGTAAAAAATAAAAATAAATAAATAAAAAATAAAACTATGATTTTTACTTAACAAAAAATACAAAAAATTAAACACTAATGTTCAAAAAAAGGCCCAACATGTATAAAATAAAATAAAAAAGTCCGGCGGACTATTTTTCTAATACCAAGTCCCAAGCCTCCATCCTACTGTCCCCAAGGCCCATCCTAATACCAAGGGATTAGGAGTTCCCTCCCCATCTCTCAAAACAAACATAACATATAGTGGGTCGCACCTCCATCTTAATCCAAATCCCAACTCTAACTCTCTAAACAAACGGGATCCCACTCCCTATTAAAAATAAGGATAAATTATAAATATATTCGCTAAGATTTGTTTAAAATATGAATTGTTCAATATAATTTTTAAAATATTACACCCCACTCCTTCAATTTTATAACTACATAATAAATGACATCATTAATAAATCATAAAATCAATTAACAGTTGTTAATGATATCATAAATATATTTCAATTAACGATTCAGGTAATTTTCTTATTATATAAGAAAGTAGTTAAAAATTTTAATTTTTTTATTAATTCTATTAAATAACAAAATTCTCACAAAGGAGTATTTGTAATTTTCAAAATTACAAAATATTTGTAATTTACCCTAAAAATAATAATAATGGGAAGAAGAGTAAACTGACCAGAACATAGAGCAAAGAAGAGACTACTACAGTAGTATACTGATCCCAGTAAGAGTCAGCAAGGGGTGCTACCAACAGTGGCAGCATAGAGGTAAATCCACACCAACTGTTGACTGTCTTGGCCGCCGATGAGTTGCTCATCTTCACTACATCAGTGAGGTATGTCACCAAATTTGATGCCACCCCTTTGTATGCAAACCTCTCCATTCCAGATATCACTGTCAAAATTTTAAAAGATTCAGAAAAAGAGATAAGAAAAACAAAAAACTATTGAAATGTAAACAAGAAGTTCAATGGAGAACCACCACCTATGAGGAGAATACATGGCTTGTTGAGTCCTTGTGGTCTCTGTGCTCCAGCCATGAGAAAGAAAATCAATGTACTGATGACTACTGAGCAATGCAACTCTGAAATTTACAGAACAATATAAGAGGGTGGTCGTGATGGAAAATAAAAAAGAGCCAAAGTAGAGTCTATCATGTTCATGACATATCCCCACGAAAGTTTGTTCCTATGGCTTTCAAACTCTAAAGAGGCTCAGTCTCCCCATAGCAAACAAACAAACACGTAAATACCACTTTTCATTTTTCTCTTGTTTTTTATTATTAGATCGATTCCATCACTGCATTTTTCTTTTTTCCTTTCTGGGTTAATTATACTAGTGGTTCTCAAATATATATATATGGTATGTTACACTTTGATTCTTAATTTTTTAATTGTTTCACCTTTATCTTCAAAATATGAAATTTATTACACTTTAATTCCTTAGGATAGTACCTTCCAAAATTAATAACAAACGAGGAGAGGTATTTTCAAAATTTTACATCAAGTTTTAACAAAATTAAAATAATCAAATATACGCAGACTGGAAGTTTTTATTTCGCCAAGTTTTCATTCTTAAAATATACATTTTACTTTATTTTAATCACTGAAATACATGATTTCTTGCATTTTTGGTCCGTAATCTTTTAATTCTATTATTTATTTATTTTTGTAAAATTATAAAAATACATCTCATCTTGTTATTAGTTTTAAATGATGATAATAAAATAGACAAAAATGTAACAATTACATACTTTAACACCAAAATGGAACAATTTAAAATTTTAAAACTAAAGTATATTTTAAAATTTATTAGCTCAAAGTTTGATTCTTTTGATTTCATGGGACACTAGGACATCACCATAAGTTGTTTTTATTTTTTGAAGCATAAAAACAGATTTATAAAAGACAAAAGGGCCAATGGATTATTTTTTTATCAGTTGGTGGTGTCGTCACGGCGGGTCAATCAAGACGGGTACATATGCCTATGTTGTAGCAATATTCATAGGAAATGTAGGTTACAAATTTGTTTTTGGCCTTTGATTTAGACCCGTAAAACATTCATCCCCACAATCTTTTCACACTTATGGAGGTTGGAGATTGGGGGGAAGAAAAAAAAAAAAAAATGACCAATCAAAATTAAAGGGGTCAAAGAAGTGACTCCCAAAAGCAGTTTCAACCTTTATTCTTTGTTTTTTTTATCAAATTAGGCCTTGTTTGGGAACATGCTAATTTAGTAATTTTTTGGCTATTTAACTAAAAAGGTAGCTAAAAAAAATTTGTATGTTTAGGATGACTTTTTGACTAATTACGAAAAGATGTGCAAAATGTAGAGAGAAAAAAGAATCTTTTACTTTTTGGTATGAGTTGTTAGTTTTTTGACTAATTTAGTAACTTTTTGACTAAAAAGATAAGTTTCCAAACGGGACCTTAGTGTTAGATTTGATGGATTTTTTTATAAAAAATTTAGTAGTATTTGATATTCGTACGTAAGATTAATTTAATGTTACGTGTTACAGAATTTGTAACATTGCCGCGTGGCAAATATGATACACATGGACAGTCCCACTATCCCAATGCAAAAATATCACAGGAACAGGTGCTGATTCAATGGTTTAAATTTTCAATTTTTTTTTTTTTAAGCATTGTTATTTATATCTAAAAGTTATGGAAAATATTTGGTAGCTCAAATTTTTGTGGCTCAAATGGCTCAAATCTGTCAAAACGACGTCGTTTTACACTCAAAATCTGTCAAAACGACGTCGTTTTGACAGATTTGAGCCATTTGAGCCACAAAAATTTGAGCTACCTAGCATTGTCGAAAAGTTATACATATTTTCTAAACTCAGTGATATATTAAAAAAATAATTAATTATCATTTTGATACATTACTAAGCCTAAAAAAGTGGATTTAAAAGTAGATTTGTATATCATTTTTTTTTTGGGGTTTTTTTTTTAAGGTCCTTGATATTATGATTTTATAACATAAAGGACATCAAATATTTTTATGATGTCTAAGGTCCATCAACAATATTTTCATAATGTCTAAGGTCCCTCAACCTTGATCTAGAGAAATTTCAGTCCAGAGAAAATTGGTCCAGAGAAATTTCAGTCCAGAGAAAATTGGTGCAGAGAAATTTCAGTCCAGAGAAAATTGGTCCAGAGAAATTTCAATCCAGAGAAAATTGGTGCAGAGAAATTTCAGTCCAGAGAAAATTGGTCCAGAGAAATTTCAATCCAGAGAAAATTGGTGCAGAGAAATTTCAGTCCAGAGAAAATTGGTCCAGAGAAATTTCAATCCAGAGAAAATTGGTGCAGAGAAATTTGACAAGAAAAAAAAAAAAAAAATGACCAATCAAAACTAAAGGGGTCAAGGAAGTGACCCCCAAAAGCAGTCTCAACCTTTATTCTTTATTTTTTTTATCAAATTAGGCCTCGTTTGGGAACAGACTAATTTAGTAACTTTTTGACTATTTAACTAAAAAGGTAGCTAAAAAAAACTTGTATGTTTTGGATGACTTTTTAGCTAATTACGAAAAGATGTGCAAAATGTAGAGAGAAAAAAGAATCTTTGACTTTTTGGTATGAATTGTTGGTTTTTTGACTAATTTAATAACTTTTTGACTAAAAAGAAAAGTTTCCAAACGGGGCCTTAGTGTTAGATTTGATGGATCTTTTTATAAAAAATTTAGTAGTATTTGATATTCATACGTAAGATTAATTTAATGTTACGTGTTACAGAATTTGTAACATTGCCGCGTGGCAAATATGATACACATGGACAGTCCAACTATCCCAATGCAAAAATATCACAGGAACAGGTGCTGATTCAATGGTTTAAATTTTCAATTTTTTTTTTTTTAAGCATTGTTATTTATATCTAAAAGTTATACATATTTTCTAAAGTCAGTGATATATTAAAAAAATAATTAATTAATAATTAAATATTCTCTAATTATCAATTAATTATCATTTTGACACATTACTAAGCCTAAAAAAGTGGATTTAAAAGTAGACTTGTATATGATATTTTTTTTTTTTGTTACTAAGTGTCGGAATCAATTTACGCAAAATACTTTCTCTTTGTAGATTGGACAAATCTTGAGCAGAATCTACGGACATGATCCTTAAGAAATTGATAGTACCTAATAAAAATTACACCTGAAATGTAGAGTATTAGACTAAGCCTTGATTTTGTTAAATTTCCATTGTTGAGAACAAAATTGGTCCCAAAAAAATTTTTCTTTAAATTTTGATCCACCTTAGAATCTTTTGTCTTTCTATGTTTTATTCTTTAAACTATCTATCTTATAATAAATAAATAATTTTAAATAAAGAAACACAGATAGAGAAAAAAAAATTTAGGTGGAGAATTTGAACATCCCTTAATCATCATTGTTATTGGTATTATTTTTTTATATCATGTAATAACATTACAAATATATACAAGTCAATGAATTTTTTTTTTTTTCAATAACAATTGATATTTTTCAAATGAATCTTTGTAAGAGTCATCAAATTTAACTTTGATAAAAATTTAGGGAAAACGATATTCCAACCGTTTCACTAAATTGGCTTCAAATGAAGAGAATCTTACTTTTTTCATCAAATTAAGAAAGTATTTAACCTTTCATCAAGTCTCACAAGTGATCATTGATAGACGACTGAATAAATGTTCGGCCGGTCAATCGGATGAACGACTGAATTGGAAAAAATTTAAAGAAAATTTACACTAGGCTAGTCAACCATCTGGACAGCTTCCTGGTCGTCCTCCCGATTGACCAGTTATTTGATAAAAATTAAAAGTTTAACGTTAAAATATTTGATATTAGATGAAACTTTCAATTTAAATCTTTACTCAATTTTAACAAAATAAAAAAAAAAGAAAAAAAAAAGAAAAAGAGAGTAAACGTGGTATTCTAACAAATAAAAAATGATAAAATTTAAGTGATAGTATATAACGGTTCTAGGAAAATAAACTGTCAAGGCTCGCATTCACATGGCCACACACGCATCTCACGTTTGTGAAGATGATATATCATTGCTTTTTATTTTTTTATTTTTTGGGAACTAATTTTGTACGTGCAGATTAAACACATGAATGATGTTGAGTGGACTCCAACATGTGAGTTTGTTGTAACTGCAGAGAGTATATGACGAATACATTTATGGGCGCATTCACCTTGAGATTCTTTGAAAGGGAGTTATGTCTGACCAGTTTGAAATCAGTTACATACATATACATATAAATGTATATGTTTTAGCAAATTTGTTAAAAAATTCTTATTTTATATTCATTTTACTTGGTGTTCAATTCACTAGATCCATTTTCTGTTCCTTTTTTTTATTCTATGGTTGTGTTTGTAGACATAGGGGCAATTTGAAAAGTTAGCTAAAAGTTAGTTTTTAGCTTTTAATTTATTTTGGGTCACATCATTTCTTATATTTTTTACAAGAATAAAATAATTAAAAAAGTCAAAAAATTAATTTTTAACCAACTTTTCAAATTACTCCATAGTCAATCTCTAACATAGATATGTTTGATGATGAAGTTGATGTTATACAACATAAAATTATAGTTTGAAAAGTTGTTCCAAAAAAAAAAAAATGACTTCTATTTGGTTTTGAAACCAAAAAATTGTTTTGGAGAATTTTTTTTTTTTTGGTGTTTGATGTTATACAACATAAAATTATAGTTTGAAAAGTTGTTCCAAAAAAAAAAAAATGACTTCTATTTGGTTTTGAAACCAAAAAATTGTTTTGGAGATTTTTTTTTTTTGGTGCGTTTTTTTTTAAACATTTTTAACATTTTAGATCTAAATGCACTTAAAAAATAGAATATTTTAGAAAAAAAATCTGGAAAAAAATCACTAAAGATAAAAAAAAATTAAAAAAAATAGTTTCTCAATTTTTTTATTTATTTTGAGTGATTTTTTTTTAGATTTCTTCATAAATACTGTATTTTTATATATATCCAAATTAGATAGATGAATTTACAAATAATAATAAATAAATAAATAAAGTCATTGATGCCATAAATCTAAATTTGAAACTTTTGGAGTAATTACTCGCACTTTATTTATTTCTGTTTAAAAAGAAAATAACAATTTGAAAGATCATATTATTTTTATATCTGTCAATCTTTCCACGTGTCCACTTGTCAGCCATTGTTGGCCGTCGATGACTTTTGCAGTATGACCTTTTCAACAAGTTGGCGACAGACAGCGATTGATAGTAGTGTGCGAGAATAGAAAAAGAAATATAATAAATAAAAAAATAAAAGTAGAAAAAAAAACTTTTAAAACAATGATTT